GAATTTCGCACGTCGCGCGCACACACCCGAGTAATTTTATTATTATAATAAAATAATTAATATAATACCGTTCTGTCCRACTATATAGTCTCCGCTGTAGATTATTATATTTCAGTCGTCATATATACCTAATTGAGAAAATCGATTGCGTTTTCAGCACACCCAACAACGTAGTCCGAATTCCCAATGCATTACATATTATTGTGAAGGTACTTTGATATTATATACAATACACCTAATCTATAAGAACGTGCTCGCAGTGTGAATAAGGGTCTGCCATTTGCCTTTTATTTTTCATATAATGCGAATTCTCTTTGGTACTAAAAAAACAAATAATAATTTATTGTAAAAATAAAAATTCGTATTTTAATTACATTTTTTCTATGTGATTTTTATATTTTATATACTTTATTAACCTAACAAATAGAGCGCGTGATATATTAATGAACGCATATTTACGGGTTGGTTATTATCATTTGAATCAAGATTTTTTATTTTTATTTTTATTTTTTTCAAAAAACTTGAACAATAGGTAGCCACACATAACTTAACGCGATTATGTAATATTATTATAATATGATAAACGTAGTATTGGAATTCAATTTTACATAAACGACCGTTGTTCGCAGGTTGTTGTAATTGGGTTCGTAGCCATGTGCTCGGCCAGTCCTTCACTGTACTTCAGCGGTCCACAATACTACAGCGGTTACTACGCGGCCCCCGCCRCCGTGGTCAGCCCGATCAAGAGCCAATACCACTCGCAAAACGAATTCGGACAATACGCCTACGGTTACAACGACGGATTCTCCAGCAAATCTGAGACCAAGCACGCCAACGGTCTGACCGAAGGTGCATACTCGTACGTCGACCCGAACGGCGTTCTCCAACAATACAAATATGTGTCCGACGAGAACGGTTACCGCGTATCTGGTACCAACTTGCCAGTAGCCCCAGCCGTCCCCGCAGTCCACGCCGTCGCAGCTGTCGAGTCCGCTGCTCCAGCTCATGACGCTACCCCGGTCGCACCGGCCGTCGCCGAACCGGTCGTTTACCAGTCCGAAATTCCACAACAAGTGCAAGACACCCCGGAAGTAGCGGCCGCCAAGGCAGCTCACCAGATCGCTTACGACGAAGCTAAGAAGGCCGCAGAAGCCGCGCCGGCCGATGACGAATCATCCTCCGACGCCGTCGTCCAGGTTTCCGCCGAAGCATCGGCCACACCCGCCGCACCTGCCGCGCCCGCCGCAGACTACGTCAGCCACTACGCCCCAGCACCCGTTGTAGCCGCCGCACCCGCTCCCGTCGCCTCGTTCAGTTACCACCCAGCCACCGCTTACGCCACTTACCCGTCGTACGCCGCCGTCCCGGCCCATGCCCCGATCGCGTCCTACGCTTACGGTCCAGTCGCGTCCTACGCATATGCCGCCGCCCCGGCCCCGTCTTACGCTTACACCGCCCCATTCGCCTCGGGATCGTACTCACCGGTGCACAGCCAGTACCACTCCCAAGACGAGTTCGGTCAGTACTCGTACGGTTACAACAGTGGTTCGTCGTCAAAGGCCGAAGTCAAGACCCTCGACGGCGTGACCCGCGGAGGTTACTCGTACGTTGACGCCAACGGACAGGTCCAACACTACAACTACGTTTCCGACCCGGTCAACGGTTTCCGCGTCGCCGGCACCAATCTGCCAGCAGCCAACGCTTTGTAAGCAAACCGACCGGCTGCCAAAGTATATTTCCACGAAAACTCTAAACCGCCCCCTCCCCTGACCCCCCGCGAACACCGATCTACCACAACCCCATTAACCCCATCACGCTGCTACGTTGTTTTTAGGTACCGGATGTCAACTTTAATGTCGTTTTCGTGTACGATACGATACTATAATTGTGCAGAGATGTCACGTAATTACGTATCTTCGCGCACCACTTGTGTATATAACGTGCGTAAACGAATATGATATTATATACTATTAATAAACGCGTGTTTATGACTCTTTGTCGAGTTTTGTACAGGCTCCCCTCCAAAATGGTCAACGGTCCCAGGAGGGGGGGCGCGACGTTACCGAGGATCGTCGGATCCGTTTGCCGCTCGACGTCAAACGAAACCGGTGGACTTTGATTCGCACAAAGAAATTTCGTTTCTCGGCACCGTCACGCTCGCAACTCCTCTTCTCCTCGCCCAACGACGAGGTGGAAGAAAAGGGCTAATTATTAAAAAAAAACACCTTTTTTTAATTTTGTTAGCTTTTAAGTTTTTTTTTTTTATACTATACACTTTCTTCACGTGAACACATCAATATTATTATTGTATTTTTGGTAAATGAAAACTCTGTTAATAATAAATTCACGATTTTGTAACTGTACACACGTGTATTCGCATATTATGATAGCCTATTACCTAATACTTAAGCCCGATGCCATACTTTCATCAATATACCTACCGATTCAAAATMCTGAACTTTTTCCTTTAAATCTTAAAACACAGACGTTATTTCTATTTTTGCATAGTACGTAACACACTATCCTAACATACGTATTAATAAAACAAACATTTTTCAAATTAATATTTTTTTTAAATATACATTCCTATAATATTATTGATTAAATATAATAAAGTGTAACTTCTATTTAAAGTTTAGACAAACGGAATAGTGGAAAAACATTTCGCGGGGTAACCCAATACCACTCCAATCTGTCAATCTAAACTTTAAATGCTTATAACTCATAAACTACTMGTCCTAAATTCGATTTTTATGAATCAAAATACTTAGAAAAATATTCTGCTTTGGAATATGAAATTAAAACTCTATGTTGTTCAAAAAAGTAAAAAACTTATAAAATTATAAAGATAAAAAAT